AATTAATTATTTTAGTTTTAATTTTATTGAATCTTCTTGTAAATTTACACAAATAAAAACTGAATAGAAAGATAGTAAACATTTTTGAGTCATATATAACAATTGAATTTGATATTTAATTATTATAAACTTATAATATTATTAATTCTTTTTCTTATCTTAAAATACACTTTAGTACTAATTGAATGAGAAAATCACATCAGCCAAATATATGAAAAATTCATTTTAGTGCTTCGATAGTAATTGTGATTGTTTTTCGTAAAGAAGGGGCATTTTCTGATCGAATTTATAAACATAATATTAAGGAAATTGAAGCTTTGAAAATTTTTGTTTAAATTATATATGGCATCTAATTTGCCCATGCTTACATTCTAATCACCTAAATAACCTATCTAGATCCTTTTTCTATTAGTCATCTCTCGAAAAGTATGTTTGTTATCGCTAAAGTCTGGAAGTTAAAAATTTATTTATGGAAAATAAAATAGTTTTAGTTGTGCATGGGACAACACAGTAGTTCCGAATCGATGATATCATCTTTTTATATTTATCTAAGCTCTTAGAGAATAAAATTGAGGTTATTAAGAAAAAAAATAATAGATTTAGACTCATCATAATAAACTTTAAAATATTAATTTGATAAAGGAATTTAGGCTTATTATGATCATAAGCCATAATATAAGTTTTCTTATGTTTTTTAGATGGAAAATTCATTCAAAACAATCAATTCTTTTGTATTTATAACAAGAACTAAAAGATCAAAAAAATGAAATTAAAATAACCAGATATTATATTTGATAAGTTAATGAGTGTCCTACTGGTTTACAGAAAAGGAAATTCTTAAGTAATTTCGAATTACTTTTATAAGAGTTTGCAGGTATTATGAATGCTTTTATTTGATTAAGCTTCATTTTAATTATTATTTATTTGAAAGTATCTTTATCATCTTTGGATGGTTCTTATCAAATGTATATTTTTTCAGTAAAATATGTGTACTATCTCAATTTTTATAATTTTTCAAATACACTGATTATAAAACTCATTTTTCTAAACAGATTCTATAAAAGTGTTACATTTTTAGAATCAAATATTTGATTGTCTTTATTGTTTTTAATAATGATCTGATAATTTATCAAAATAGTCCATAGTATTTAATTTATGAGCCTATTTTGAAACATCACTATCGTCTAAAGCAACAATTTCTAATTCATGTACTAAGAATCGCCTTTTAAGATCTGTATCTTTATTTTACATCCTTATATTCAATATCTTGAAGTTTCTATTTTTTAGCTATATTTATTCAAATTTTGCATGAAGTACTATTGATATGAAGAATAAGAAAATTAAAGCATTCATCTATTCACCAAACAGGATAAAAAGGCCCAGCGTTTATTCTCTTAAGATTCTTTTTCATCATCAACAAGGTATTCCTAAATTCAAAAAAGATTTGAAGAAATATTTTACACACTTAAAACAATAACAATTGGTCATTGTCTTAACTTTCAACTTAGGTATGTTAAAAGCTTTTAAATACCATAAGTTAAGTCTTAAGACTATAAGGCTTGAATTCTAAAGCTATGGTCATCAAAAAAGGTTACTCATGTTTAGGATCCCTTGTTATCTCTACTAACCAATCCACAACTGATTTTGAATTGTGAAGACAAATTAAAAGCCTTATCAACATGAATATCATTTTAGATTAATATCGCTAAATCCAACATGGTAAACCTCCATAATTGGAGTTAAACATTGAAGCAAATTAGAGATAATCATTTTTCCAGCTCTATATATCCAAGTACAGTTCCATCGTATTTAAATTTTTTCCAAACTCTAAAGAATTTCCTATCACTTAAGGATTTAATGAGTTACTGATGTAATCACACTTGGCCTTCATTACCCAAAAATTCATTAAGAACAATAAATATTCAAAAGAGCAGAGCATCAGATTCTTTTTGATCTAAGTAAAGTATTATTTTTTTCTAAGTTTTATTCTAGAAGAATATGCCAATTGATTTCACAAAATTAATTAATATGAATTTTTAATGAAAATTACTGACTTTCTAATGGATTAGAAGAATATACTCAGCCATTTTTCTAGAATAATGTACATTATGTGAAAATTATATTCAAATTTGCATTTAAATTAGAATTATGGACACCTATTAAAAAATCTTTTAATTTTTAAACTATCCAAAAAGGAAATAGAAATTAGACTACTCTATTAAATGGAGCCATTATAGGAAGATTTTTATTTTAAGTAATATAGTTATATTCATTAAAATAATAATGTTTATATAATAAAATGAATAATTCAATTAAGTATATTTTATTTTTCTAATATTAATAAATTTTTCCTAAAATTATCAAGTTATTTACATTTCCAATAAACTAAAATCTGTGATTATATTTTGATAAATTTGAATCAATTTATAATAATATTTGATTTGTAAATTTCTAATAAGGTCTCAATTAAAAATTGAAAATTTAAAGCATAATACACAGAGTTGCCAGTTAAATTTAAACTGTCGATCTACTTTTCTAGATGAAGTTTATGGTCATCTTCCTTTTTCAGAGCCAATTTCCAGAATTATTGTTTATCTGTGAAACTTGGTTATTTATTTGACCCAAAAATAAATGAAATAAAATTATTACTGATAGTAAATTGAATTATTCTTCCAATCATTAACTAAATAATATATGCATTGATCATTAAATAAATATAAAAATTGCCTTGGTAGATAATTAATCTGTTTTTTTATTGAGGTTAATTGAAAATTTAATTCAAACCAAAAAGAATTAATTTAAAGTAAATAAATTTTTATCAGAATAAAATTAGAATCGAACAAATAATTTATATATTTTTGAAAAGTTTTAATATTGATAAAAATGGTTTATCGAATTTTTTGAATTATAATGAAGGAAAATATATAGTTAAGAATTCAAATAAATATAGTCCAAAATACCAAAACTGAATTCTGAGTCATTTTTTAGATTATAAACATGAATAATGTGGTGATAATAATAGGGGCTTTTACATAAATATTTAAAAATGAAGTATGTAAGTATAAATAAATAGAAGAATAAACTTATTCTCTTAATTTTATTAAATTATTATCATTTATTATTATAAGAAATTAATTTTAACAAAATTTTATTTGGAAAAAAATTATTTTAGTTAGTTTAAGAATGATTTGATTGAATAAAATATCAAACTTTGTCTTATATTATTATAAAACAATGACCTAAAAACTAACTTAAATCAAGAACTAAATCTACTTTTTATTACTTTGTTTTTCTATTGAATTCAATTTAATAGAATCTTAAGATCATGAAAACAATAAATAACTCAAATTGTAATTAAGGGTTATTAAAATTGTTTTTATAAAAAATTTACTAGAGGTTATTTAAACATTTTTTTTATCATAGTTCCGATGTTCTAAAACAGAAAACAGATCTATAATAAGAGTTTACTCCTATAAGTTTGACTTTGATAATCCTTTTTCTTGACAAAAAGTATTGGAAAAATCCATTTATAATAGTCATCTATTTATTAACTATAAAGATCCTAAATTAATCATTTTATAGGCCCTTCTAACTATTAAAGGTGTAAATTTAGATATGACTAAATAGGGAAAGATGCTAATCTAATAAGCCATTCATAGTTTAATATGATATTCACTGAACACTAATTAGATATAATTAAATAGATATTTAATGTAAAAACAGGAGATTAACGAATTAATTATCTTAAATTCATTAGTGAAGTATCATATTCATTTATAACAATAATTATAATTTTCATATAAATTAAAATTTAAAATTGTGTAAATAAAAATTATAAGTTTACTTAATTCTAAACTTTTGGAGAATGAAATTACTAAAAAAATTTTATCAATTATCAGATGATGATAATTTTACTTATGATACTTGATAAGATCTCTTTAGAGAAAGATTAAATTTCTCGAATTAATACTGCTAGTTTATTAATAAGTCTAAAAAATCATCAGAAATAAAATTAATCCTCCTCCTAATTAAAATTTCACTATCTCCTTTTATATAAGTAATCATCCTTTTTGATCTATGAAATGGTTAT